AACTTTGTAAATTAGATGGGATTATTATTCTAACTTAACTCGCAAAGAACTTGAGCTAAATGCAATAGTTCTCAACCAGGGGCACCTGAAAGTGTGTAGGTTTGTTTGGGTTCTTACACTGACATCAGAGGAAACACTAGCATTAGGTCTACAGTTTGCTGGACAAATCCACAGAATCACGCAGCACAAAATGCTATCACTATTTGAGAAACACTGACCAAGAATAAATGGACAAAGTCAAACAAATAATAGTGACATTAAGGTGCCTCAATAACAATGTCCAGGAAATCACCAAAGACCTAGCCAAAAGGAACTCAAATGTAAAAGCAGTATCAAATTGTCATGCTAAAATAAGAAGTCTAGGCTATGCATTCAAAATGGCGGTAAGAGCAGAGTAAAAGATGACAAAATTCCAAATTCAAATTACTCTACTATCCTCTTATACAAGCTTTCCATTACTCTCTTGTAATTTGCCTCTGTGGAAGAATGTGCAAATTTTCATTACTATTTTTTCTCTCTTTTTTTTTTTTTTAAAAAAGATTTATTTATTTATTTATACAAGCACTGGGTACAGTCAGAAGTGTGGGAGGGTGAGAGAATTCACCAGAGCCAGAGCGGGGAGCAGAGCAGGCAGAAGGACCAAAGTACACTGCTGAGGGGAGCAGCGGGCGGCAGGAGAGGTCTGCGCGCCCTATTTTTTCTTTATTCCCTCTAAGATTTTATACAAAGGAATCAAGTCCCTTTCTAGTTCCCAATCTACCACTGTGATGGATACACCGTATTACCTATATGGATTAACAGTTACCTTTAAAGTTGGTCTATTCATTTGGTCTATTCTTTTCATTCATGACCATTAACCATCCTAAAAAATCACATTTTCTCCTGTCAGCATCTCCTTATATGACTATAATGAGTCCTCACTGAATAACACAGACAGCTCAGGTTAAAAGTCACGTTCTCCAACAATGGGCTTCTTATTACTGCCCCTAATTCAGGTGACTATTCCAATCAGGTCTTGAGATTGCCTCCAGACTACCATGCAATTCCCATTCCTCTGCTTTCATCCACATTGCTCACTTAGAGTGATTTTCCCACTCCTTCCTCTTGGGCATGTGACTCTTACCTATTAAGCATAGAAATGCCATCAAATCCAAATAATTTACCTATAAATATGACTCTGTGCAAAGTAAGTTGACTCTGAGTATATCTGTAATTTCAACTTAAATTTATCTAATTCAGTCCTTTAGTTAGGAATGAAAACTTTATGAAGGTATGGATCATATCTTCATTTCTTTTATATACTCACCTAGAACATAAATAATTACCTGGACACACAGAACTGTTTCTTGAAAAAATTATCTAAATACAGATCCTTTATTTTAAAAGAAAAAACATAAATTCAAGGACATATAATTATCTAGTGGCAAGACAAGAAGTAGAATTCAGTTACAATTTATAATCTAATGTCAACACTTAATGTGCTAGTTAGATGAACTCTGAGGTACAAACTTTGTTTCATAAATCTGCCTTCAGCAACATTACACTGCCATTTAAGACAGTTCATGCCTTATCAAAGCTGAGACTGTCGATTAAGCTATATTTCCCTCAACTCAAAAAGATAAATGAGGTTCTTTAAAAATGTTGATAATTATAACAAAAACTCAAACTTTACAAAAATTCAGTAAATTTAGAATTCCATTTTTCTGCCTAGTACTTGAAATGCTTATACGGAAAGTGACCTCACTATGCTAACAGAAATACCTTACAAATAAGATCAGGGTAGCTCATGTTTACAACACAGTATGAAAGAACACAAAATTTTTATACTATAAACCAGGAGTCTAGACACAAGGTCTATACAGCATTACCAGAAAGGCCTTTATTCTTCAGTTAGACTCTTCCCTGCCTTCTCATCCATATGAGAATAATTTATTCCAAGTTCTAATCTCTAGACAAGATTATGCAAAATAACTACCTTAATATATGGCAAAGAGGTAAGAATTAGATAATTCAATTACATCACCAACATATAACTTGGTACATAAAATTGCTTTCCTGCTTCCTATCAATAAGTATACTCCAACTTCTTAATCTTTCAAGAAACCAAGAAGGATGAGTGTAAAGCATGAATATAATAATTTCATCAGTCCCCTGCCATTCATTAATACAGTAAACATATTAAATTTATCTTGTCTCCTCATTGGTACATTATTCAAATTCTCAGATTTTCAATAATTCTTGTTCAAGCATAAGATATCAGATGTAACTTTCCCACCAGTGTGTATACTTTGTTTTGTTTTAACCTCCAAGTGGGCCGATAAACTTAGTATCATCTTCTAACAATTAAGACATCCTATTAGTCAAATCACAGGTGCACTTAAGAGTTCTAATAGCCCAATTCCATTCAAAAACAACTCCTTCTTTGTACTCTGCGGTTAAATGAAAGAAAAGACTTTTTATCTAGAAGTATATTTCTACTCTAAAGACATCTTTTAAGACAAAGATTACATGAATCTAACAGAAGAGGATAAAGAAAGAGACCAAAAGAAACCAACTGTAACATGGAATAATATAAAAGAGAAAGGATGACAAAGTAGACTTGTAAAAACTCTACATGTTAAACCATATGGAATTCTGAAATTAAAACCTATAAATTTTAGGTATCTCATTTTGAAAAGAACAAAGAACAGAGAAACACCTTAAATCACATATGTGGAGAACATCAGATGAAAATAAAAAGGTCCAATCACTTTATATGAATCAAAGCCATAATAAACAAAGCTTATAAGCTCATTTGCTACTTGAACAGAAGGAATGATTAGGTGGAATTACTGGCAGGCAAACTAATTTATCACTTTGGAATGTTGATATAATCTCATAAAAAAGGGAAAGTAGAAATAGAATTGGTAAATAAGTTTTCCTTCATTCTAAATATAGTGAGAGGGACTAAGAAGAAATTTAGAATTGTGAACTGTCACTACCAGTTCACTTTCATTTATAGTATTTAATTATAAAAATTATGTACCAACAGATGTCATATATGTGATACATGAGTGATATATATAAGTGATATGGCTCTTATCTGGCGATTGGCATTAGGGCTAACATTTTAACTCCTCCCTTTGTGTCAACTTGCTAATTAATCAAATGCATTAGAGTTAAAAGTCTGGTCTAAGAAAAGTATCTGGTTTTATAAAAATCAAGCTAGCTGGTGATATTTACTTACATTAAATTATGTAAGGACCAGAATGGTGGTTAAAAGATAAAAAAAAATTATATACCGCAACAAAACAGACTATACTAGAAAAATAGTAAATATTAGGTCCACTTAAAACAAAAACAAAATAATCTAAAAAAGATCTATTTCAACTTCTTAGTCCAGTAATGAAATTCTTGTTAGCAACAAGAAACTCTGCTTTCAGTTTCAAATAGTTCTAGATCTAACAATGCATTAGTCTTGTCACCACAGAGTTACGCTGATCACTGAGTACCCACACTGACAAAATTAACTTTATTGCCATCTTTACAAAGACAAAATAGGGATCCTAGCGGTAGTGATCAATGGGTTTAGGAATAAAAATATTTAAATTGAAGCCAAAAGATACTATAGTATCAACTGTCTAGAAATTTGGGCAAAAGACACATAGTCTTAGAAATTCAGATTCAGATTGCAGCTACTCAGATTCTACCACTTTAATAGGTTTGAGTCCACTAATTGGTATTGGCTGTTAGTGACAGACTTCACTAAATAACACAATTCAATGACCCATATGAAAACTTATATTAGCATTGTGAGGACAGCACTCTAATCCATAAATCAAATTTTAGGCGCACTCTGAAACCACATAGTAATTATTTGAAATGAAGATTTTAAAAGATTACTAGAAAATGCAGGCCCCACTCCCCCATTTTAGAAGCCAGAAAATCGTACATGTGAAGGGTAAAGCTTCCCTATCTAGTTTTTGTTGTTTTTGTTTTTTGACAGTATTAATGTCTACTGAGATCATTTAGTGATTTTTTTTCTTTTTATTACTGACACACTATCTCAATAAAATGTAGGAAGCAGATGGCCTACAGATAAATAAATTTCTTTCTTTTAAAATCTTATGTTGAAAAATAAGTGTATTCAAGTATGGTTAAATGTCACAATAAAGCAAACACAATGTTATTTCACGTTAAGTAGCTTAAAAAAAATTGAGACGTATTCTCCATTATTCAGATCAAAAGAATGAGCTTGAAAAGTATGTATTTGAAAGAATACCATGACCAAATTGTTATAATTTAGGCATAAGCAGGAAAAATAATTTTCCCTATACTAATACCACAGGGTTTGTATACATCAATAAAACCTAAGTTTGTATATATAAATAATATTCTAAAAGGAAAAACATATGAGGAGTACACTTATTCATGTGCCTGAAAGAAAAAGCTCTAAAATTTGTATAAATATGAATGCTTCATAATTATTTACATAAATTTTTAACTAAATTTGTCTTCTGCCAATGACTTTCTAGATGGATGTCAGAAATAACCAGATTTAAATTTAACCTCTAATTCATTAGAATAGGTCATAAGTTCAACATCTACCATGACAGTTATTTTAAAAAGCAATTAACAAATGCCCAGTACTACGGTCTTTAAACTTCATCTTTAACATATCTCACTCAACAGTGTAAGCAGATCTAAAATCTTCTAGCTCCTTACAAAGTTACTATACCAAAACTTTAGACCTCTGTGTGAATACATGGTTAGTTAATATAAATTGAAAACTGATCAACATCACATCAACATATAACCTAAATAAAAACATATAACCTAAATAAAACATATAACCTAAATAAAATCAATGAAAAAGCCAACACTCCATAATCGCACATATTCACCTGATTATACCATTATCTTTGGAATTAAACAGGAAAAAGAACTAATCAGCAAAACAGGACTACCGAGAATACAAAGTTAAAAAAATAATAATAAAGTAAAAGTACACGAAAGGATACAGCCTTAAAGCACCAGTCTGAGTCCCCACTGCCAGGATCTTCTGTACAGGATCAAAGGCCAGGGCTGAGGGTTGATAGGGAAATCCATGGCGAACAGTCTAGGCACAGGCAAGTGGCATCACAGCAACCAAAGTAGAAGCAAAATTTAAAAAACAGAAAGTCAATACGGGCATTCAAATTTTGAAACAATTGTAACTGATACAAAACACAGATACATGTACTTATCACTTTAAGGGAAAAAAAAAAAAAGAAAAATCCAAGTAATCTACATGAACAAACAAGTGATTCCAGGAGCCAGAAATGAAAAGAAGAAAAAAAAAATCCACCCTTCAGTGTAACACTTTATCTTCTGCCTCTTTATCATACTAGCATTCTCTAATGCTTATCAGTGTCTGACTAATATCCTATACTATTATGTCCCAGATCAAATCAGTTGTTCCTAGTGGTCAAAAAGAATAAATAAATAACTCAACGGTGCGTTCATTTCAATATGCAATTCGTGCTTTATTCCAAGTGAAACTGCATCATTATTTCGATGCTAAAGGCGAGTACTAGTAAGGATAAGCAGCCGTACTTTAGTCAAGGATTCAGGGAAGCAATTGTCAAAATATCTACCCTGTTTTGCAACTGTAACGAAACGAAAATAAGTTCGCCCTTCCATTGCGCATTTTTGCTATTCAATCCTCAACAATGTCAGGGCAGCCAGTCAAAAAGCAAAGTGGACACACACACACTTTCAGAAAGTCCTGACATAAGAACGCACGACATTTCTCAGGCAGACAGAGATCAGGACCAAGACAAGTTTGTGTCTCATGCAGCAGCTGGTGAGTCGATTCGCTGCATCATTCCTTCTCTCTCCACTCCGCTAGGACCACGGTCGTGCCACTGAGGGGCAAAAAGGCCCGCGTGAACTTTTTCACGAAACACAATGCCAGAAGCACCCTGCCTTTTTCTACCTCCAGCCTGACACATTTTTTTTTTTTTTACATCTCTATAAATATTTATTGATTGAAAACTTTTCCAATTCGGAGTTGATTCCAGGAAAAAACAAGAAAGTACAAGACATCAAACTCAATAACATCATGAAATACAAAGATTCCCTTCCATCTAATCACAGAAAGGAATTCAAGTTTACCGAGTGCCTTGATAATGGAAAAAAAAAAAAACACTAAAAGAATAAGCCTCAATGCAATTTCCCTTCTCATATTTATAAATCACATATTCGCTACACAGCAGAGTTTTGGGGTTTTCTATAACTCAAACTCTGGCAACACGAGGGAATCTGGCGGAGCAGCTCAAGGCAGCCTCGTACCACCGTCTAAGGGCAAGGGATGAGCAAACGCCTGGCACAGGTTTGCGCCCCGATAAACAACTGTCCCCGGACGCCGATTCCGCAGGCAGCTTCAAGTCGGCGGCTCCACGAGCCCGCCCGAGGATCGGGGTTTCGGGACTGTGGGGAGCACGACGGCGGGACCGTCCGGCGCCCGCAGGAGCCCCGCGAGGGACCCTCAGGGGCGGGCCGGGCCGAGGGGGACTCGGGTGACGTCCGCCCCCAGACGGCCCGGCCCGGCCGGCCGCAGCGGGGCGCCCTCAGCCGGGGGCCCGCGCCCCCTCCCCGCGGGCCCCGGGGCGCTCACCCTGCAGAGCTGGAAGTGCTCGGCCTGGAGCGTCTCCTGCACCTCGGGCTCCCGCGGCCCCGCCGGGTGCTGCTGCTGCTGCGCGGCGGAGGACGAGCCGGCGGTCAGGCCGTCCAGCACCTTCCTGATGTTGAATTTCCTCATGGCGTCGCGGCGCCCGCGCCCCGCGGGGCGGCTTCCTGGGGGCCCCGCCGCGCGAGGGGGGAAGGGGCGCGGCGCGCGGCGAGACGATCCCGGCGGAGACCCGCGGGCGGCCCCGGAGCCCGGACGGCGACGCCGCTGCCCGGCCCGGCCCGGCGGCCCAGGACTGGCGGCGGCGCCCGGAGCGCGCGCCCAGCCTCACCTGGCCGCCCGCTGCGCGAGCGCCGCGCCGCCGCCCCGGCCCGCCCGCGCCCCCGCCGCCGCCGCCAACGCCGCCGCGTCCATGGCCCGCGGCCCCGCCGCCCGCGCCCGCCCCGGCCCCGCGGCGCCCGGCGCCCGCTGCCCCCGCCGGCGCCGCCTCAGCCCAGCCGCCGCCTCAGCCGCCTCAGCCGCCTCAGCCGCCGCCTCCGGGTCGCCTCAGCCGCCGCCTCCCGGTCGCCTCAGCCGCCTCAGCCGCCGCCTCCGGGGTCGCGGCTCCCCCGCTCCGCGGCCGCTCGGCCTCCCCGCGCTCAGCGCCGCCGCCCGCCCGGCATCGCACGCCGGCGCCCGGCCGGCCCCGCGCTCGCCGCCTCGCCCGCTCGCTCCTCCGCCGGCGGCCCGGCCGCCCTCGCCGCCGCTCCCGCTCGCCTGACGGGGCGCCCGGCGCTCGGCTCCAACGCCCGCCGAGCGGCAGCAGCAGCCGCGTTACAGCGCCCGCCGCGGCGGTGGCGGCAGCTGGGCCTCGGCGGAGCCGGCGGCGGCGCGTGCGCATGCGCGGCCCCCCACGCCCCCCCTCCCCGAGCCCGGGCTTCAATTACCCGCTGCGAAACCCCACAGCCGGGCTCCGTGTCTTCCACCCCAGTCGCCCTGCCGGGGCGTGCAGCTGCTTCTCCTGCAGCTGGGACAGTGGCAGCCTGACGGCTCACAAGCAGCAGGGAAGCTTTATTGCAAAATCGCGCTGTAAAGCGGGGCTTTCTGCTCTCACCCTTGCATGAGCAGCACGCTCCTGGCTGCCGGTGGCAGTGTTATTGTTGTTGCTTTATTGATGTACGTTGTTTTGGAGTGATTTGTACTTGGTTTTTGGAAAACAGAGGCTAAGCAACGAGTATGTCGGTGGCAAAAGGATGCAGACATAGAAAGGTACTAGGAAAGGAGATGAGCCGGGGGTAGGGGGGAATGCGGGGTGCAGATGCATTTTCCTGAAGCGGGTGCTGCTGGTGGGGTGAGGAGCGTGGCCAGGGCGGGAGCTGCTCCAGTGACGAGGCTGCCGGAGGACGCACTCCCGGGCAGGTGTCCACCCCGGGCAGGGCCACGCCATCCCTGGAGTCCGTCTGCACGCTGGGTGGGTGGGGCTGGGGCGGGAGCGAGGGTGGAAGTAAACACGGCGCTGCCACTCATTCTCAGAGCCTGAAATCACCCCGAAATGCCGATTACGCCCGGTAGCTTCTCCCCTCTGCAGGGGGAAAGAGGGTAGGATGTTTGGGGGTCCAGCTTTCGCTGCTTCGCTGACACAAACTCACTTGGATGCTTGAAGCCAAGTCTGGCACAAGTTCGAAAAGATAGAGGTGCCTTCTGCGGGGAACCCCCCCCAACACACACATACACAAACACACAAACACACCACCCACCAACAAGGAGAGGTGGGCAGCAGAGGTCCAGTAAGGAGAGGTGGGCAGCAGAGGCACTTGCTGAACAAGGAGGAGGAAACTGAAAACACATAAAGACAGATTCTTCTTTGTGGGGCGCTGCGTGGGGTGGGGAGACACTCTCCTGGGCAGAAAAGTCCCCGCCCTGAACGTCCTGTGAAGAGTCTGAGACGAGCTACACAGGGTTTGCCAGTTCCGAAGAGAAATCAGAAGCGCCCGCCTCCCCTTTGTGATAGGCCGCTGTCTGCCCCAAGCCGGGACACGCTCGCCACCCCATTGAGGGACGTGGCGGGCTGTCAAGCACAGCAAATTAACCACACGGGATGCCTAGAGGCCTGCTCGGGAAACGTCGTTCTGCGTGGAGCTTCCGCGTTCAAAGCGAGGGTTTAACCTTTGGAACCCAGGCAATTGTCTTGCGGTTTAATATTTATTGAATTACTCAGTTAATCCAGTGGGTGCAAAGGACAATAAGACACACTTGAAGACTTTCTTAAACCCACAAGCTAAAGGGTAACACCCATATAAAAAAAGTATTTGTGATACCTTGTGATGAGTTCATTGATGGAATCAAGTGCAAGGATTGAAGAGGGTAATTTAACAGGCCAGGGAAAGGCTAGAGTTTGGAATACTAGTTGATCTCTGATGAGTTGGAGTTGACCTTGTGAAGAGGAGTAAGAAGAGCCTTGGGTGGTGTGTGGAGAGGAAGCATTAGAATTATCGAGAGGTTTTTGAAAACAGAAATGTCTCCATAGGGCAGCATTGCAAAACAAGTTTCTTCGCCACAAAATTTGTGATGCAACTTCCCATGTAGGTTGACTTTAACATATTGGATAATTTGTCATCATTGAATTATAAAACTCTTTGAAGAAGGAACAATTTCTTGCTGAGTGGCCCTCTGGTATAGTGGGGAAATCCTAGGCTCTGTTGCGTGGGAGACATGAATCGCAATCAAGCTCTTGGTAATATGAAGACCCTTGTCTTCATGAGTAAAATGAAATTAATATTACTTTCTTCCTGGGGTTAATGTCTTAGTGAGGATAAACAAGTGGGGGTTGGGGGGAGAGAGTAAAGTTTACACTGCACTGGTTATCATTCCAAAAAATGTCAGTTTTCCTGTTCAGGGAACCATGAGGTAAAAAGGACTTCAAGAGATCACCAACTTAAGCAGGTCACCTATTTTTGACTATCAAATTTTCATTTTGATTTCCATACCTCATCCCTCTCAACAGATAATAAAGTCATTCTGGCACTCCCAAAACTTTGGCTCATAAAGGACACGTGGAATTAACATGAATGTGGTCTGCTTATAGATGTTTGATTTAGGATTAGTAATCTATACTCTCCAAATTCAGGGAGATAAGGACATATCCAAAATTCTGGTAGATAAAAAGTAACAGTGGTCTAAAATATTTATCTTTAAAATAGCAAAATAAAATAATGGATCCTCAAGCTCATGATATTTCTTGTAAGTCAGTTTCAATTCATTGATTGACTTTTAAAATTAAGATAGAATATTTAAGAGTTTAAATGAAAATTAGAAATTTTAAGTTTATAATAAAATCAGGAATGCAATCTTTTATGTCATTTATTTTAAAACTTATGCATAATAAACTCTTAACACAGTTTGTTTTGTCCTAATGAATGAATCAATATATTGATGCCAAGCAACTCAATAGCTCTCTAATTTTGGTCAAGAAAAGGAATTCTTTCTTACTGGCTTATTGAAGAATGGCCCAGGAGATGATAATGTAACTTATACCTATATTATATTTTACTGAATAGGGACAATTCTAAACAATACTCAATACAATGAAAATTAAAAGGAAAACAAGAATCAACATTAAAAAGGAAAGGAAATTCATTAATTATTTATAAATTTTTCTGAAACTGCCCTATTATTTGGCTTAAAGGCTAATGAGGGTTCTCCTATTGGTCTCACAGGGGCATCTGGTTGCTGATTGAGAGGAATAAACTGAAAATAAATATTTTAATGAAAAATTACATTACTGACAGAATTTTTTGGAAGGTATTCAAATTTTACTTTATCTGCTAGCATTAATTTATATTGACTTAATTATAGTTTGTTGAGTCCCGAAGGATGTGTTCATGACAATATTTATTCACTACAGAATCTTGAATTTAAATTATTTGTAAATTGCAACAGAGACGTTAATTAGCTAATCTACCTAGCTCAGGTCCTCTTTTCAGAATGGGTCCTCTACCTGCTACTGAAATACTGGGGCTGTGTTTTGAACAGGTGTCCATGTGCCCAGGTCCAAACTCATTGGATCAGAGGCAGATACCTGAAGCACCTGCTTCTGAGAGTTTGAATTGAATCATTAAGATACTATATAGTCTGAAGCAGGATGTCTTTTAGAGCTAGGATGGAAGCTGAGAGTGCCCAAACTTAGTTGGAAAACAGAAAAATGGAGAAGACTCACCAATTCAGGGAAGTGACACTAGGGAGGCAGAAAGTAGAGTCTCCACTCCTGACTTTCCAGTTCCCCGTACTTATTCCTTATGAAATCTCACTATAATTTTCTTTCTTTGTATAAATGAGTATAAATGGGTTTCTGGTTCTTATAATCCAATATTCTTACATAAATTTGGACACACTCTTCCCCCAAATGTACAAGAGTGTAGAGGTAGTAGAGGCACCCTTCATGATCATTTTTATCTTCTACTCATAATTGTCCCCATAGTTAAGCAGCTCTAAAAATAATCTAACAAGGAGGCTTTGACAAGAATGATTTCGGGGTGGTTGCAGTGGGAAAGTATTCAGATTCTGGATTATACTTTAATGGTAGACCCAAGAGGATTTGCTGATGTTATAGGGGAAATCAGCAAAAGAAAAGAAGCCAGGATAATGCCCAATTTTGGGCCTGAGCACTTAGAACACTGGTGTTGCAATTTAATTTCCACATTTATGACTCCTGGGTAGTTTCCAGTTACTATTTGTACCTGAGTGGACTTTACAAATATCATCAACTAAATAAACAAACCTTGTCTGGGAACAAATAGGATCCACTACTTTGTGATCTTTATCAAGCTCTGACCTTTCTAGAAAAACAGATTAAGCACATATTCATGAACCTTCATTATTCCATAGATTGCTCAATCACTATTTAATATTATTTGTAAGAGTATCTCTAGACTGTAGACAAAAATACCTAGACATAGATCAGTAAGTTCAAGTGAAGAGAGAATTCCAGAAATGCAAAACATAACTAATCAAACCAAGTGAACACTTAAATGTAAAATATGAGTCATTAATGTACGGGAGTGAAAAATACTGTCAGATTTTTAAAATTTAGAAACTAGGCAATCAGACGTTCATCAATAAATTCTCATAAATTTCAAAAGCTATGTCTGTTATGGGAACAATATTTCTACAATGTGAACAATATTTG